TTGCCGCGGGCTGCCACGCTATTGCCATGCGATTGCCACGCAGCTGCCATGCCATTGCCATGCGACTGCCACGCAGATGGCACGCAGTTGCCGTGCCGTTGCCATGCCGTGGCCGTGGTGTTGCCATGCTGTTGCCATGCTGTTGCCATGCGCGTGCCATGCCGTTGCCATGCTGTTGCCATGCCGTTGCCATGCCGTTGCCATGCGCTTGCCATGCCGTTGCCATGCCGTGGCCATGCGCTTGCCATGCCGTTGCCATGCCGTGGCCGTGCTGTTGCCATGCTGTTGCCGTGCTGTTGCCATGTGCTTGCCAGGCCGTTGCCATGCCGAGGCCGTTATGTTGCCATGCCGCAGCCATGCCGTTGCCATGCCGTTGCCATGCGCTCGCCATGCCGTTGCCATGCAGTTGCCATGCGTTTGCCATGCCTTTGCCATGCTGTTGCAGTGCTGTTGCCATGCCGTTGCCATGCCGTGGGCGCGCAGTTGCCATGCCATTGCCATGCAGTTGCCATGCGCTTGCCATGCCGTTGCCATGCGCTTGCCATGCCGTTGCCATGCCGTGGCCGCGCTGCTGCCATGCCATTGCCATGCTGTTGCCATGCCGTTGCCATGCGCTTGCCATGCCGTTGCCATGCTGTTGCCATGCTGTTGCTACGCTGTTGCCATGCTGTTGCCATGATGTTGCCATGCCGTTGCCGTGTTGTTGCCATGCGCTTGCCACGCCGTTGCCATGCAGTTGCCACGTTATTGCCATGCCGTTGCCATGCTGTTGCCATGCTGTTGCCATGGGCTTGCCATGCCGTTGCCATGCCCTGGCCGTGCTGTTGCCATGCTGTCGCCATGCTGTTGCCATGCCGTTTGCCATGCCGTTGCCATGCTGTTGCCATGCTGTTGCCATGCGCGTGCCTTGCCGTCGTCATGCCGTTGCCATGCGCTCGCCATGCCGTTGCCATGCAGTTGCCATGCTGTTGCCATGCCGTTGCCATGATGTTGCTCTGCGCTTGCCACGCCATTGCCATGCCGTGGCCGTGCAGTTGCCATGCTGCTGCCATGCTGTTGCCATGGTGTTGCAATGCTGTCGCCTTGCGCTTGTCATGATGTTGCCATGTCGTGGCCGTGCAGTTGCCATGCTGTTGCTATGCGGTTGCCATGCTGTTGCCATGCGCTTGCCCTGCCTCTGCCATGCCGTGGCCGAGCTGTTGCCATGCGGTTGCCATGCCTCTGCCATGCTGTTGCCGTGCTGCTGCCATGCCGTTGCCATGCTGCTGCCATGCTGTTGCCATGCTGATGCCATGCCATTGTCATGCTGCGTCCATGCTACTGCCATGCTGATGCCATGCTCTTGCCATGCTGCTGCCATGCTGTTGCCATGCTCTCGCCTTGCCGTTGCCATGCCGTGGCCGTGCTGTTGCCATGCTGTCGCCATGTCATTGCCATGTTGATGCCGTGCGGCGGCCTCGCTGCCGCCATGCCGATACCATGCTGTTGCCATGCCGTTGCCGTGATGTCATGCTGTTGCCGTGCTGCCGCCATGCCGGTGCCATGCTGCTGCCATGTTGTGGCCATGTTGATGCCATGCAGTTGCCATGCGGTGGCCTCGCTGCTGCCACGCTGTTCCCATGCTGCTGCCATGCTGTTGCCATGCTGTGGCCGTGCTGTTGCCATGCCGTTGTCATGCGCTTGCCGTGCCGTTGCCATGCCGTGGCCGCGCTGTTGCCATGCTGGTGCCATGCTGTTGCCATGCCGTTGCCATGCGCTTGTCATGCCGTTGCCATGCCGTGGCCGTGCTGTTGCCATGCTGTTGCCATGTTGTTGCCATGCGCTTGCCATGCGCTTGCCATGCCGTGGCCGTGCAGTTGCCACGCTGTTGCCATGCCGTTGCCATGCTGTTGCCATGCTGCTGCCATGGGGCTCCCATGCTATTGCTATGCGATTGCCACGCAGCTGCCATGCTAGTGCCATGCGACTGCCACGCAGATGGCACGCAGTTGCCTTGCCGTTGCCATGCCGTGGCCGTGCTGTTGCCATGGTGTTGCCATGCGCGTGCCATGCCGTTGCCATGCCGTGGCCGTGCTGTTGCCATGCCGGTGCCATGATGTTGCCATGTTGATGCCATGCCGTTGCCATGCGCTTGCCATGCCGTTGCCTTGCCGTGGCCGTGCTGTTGCCATGCTGTTGTCATGGTGTTGCCATGTTGTTGCCATGCGCTTGCCAGGCCGTTGCCATGCCGAGGCCGTGCTATTGCCATGCTGTTGCCATGCCGCAGCCATGCCGTTGCCGTGTCGTTGCCATGCCGTTGCCATGCAGTTGCCATGCGGTTGCCATGCCTCTGCCATGCTGTTTTCATGCTGTTGCCCTGCTGTTGCCACGCGCTTGCCATGCCGTTGCCATGCCGTGGCCGCGCTGTTGCCATGCATTTGCCATGCAGTTGCCATGCTGTTGCCATGGGGCTCCCATACTATTGCCGTGACGTTGCCATGCCGTGGCCGCGCTGATGCCATGCCGTTGCCAAGCTGTTGCCATGCTGTTGCCACGCGCTTGCCATGCCGTTGCCTTGCTGTTGCCATGCTGTTGCTACGCTGTTGCCATGATGTTGCCATGCTGTTGCCATGTTGTTGCCATGCGCTTGCCACGCCATTCCCATGCCGTTGCCATGCCGTTGCCATGCAGTTGCCATGGGCTTGCCATGTCGTTGCCATGCCCTGGCCGTGCTGTTGCCATGCTATTGCCATGCCGTGGCCATGCTGTTGCCATGCTGTTGCCATGCTGTTGCCATGCGCTTGCCATATCGTTGTCATGCCGAGGCCGTGCTGTTGCCATGCTGTTGCCATGCGCTTGCCATGCGCTTGCCATGCCGTGGCCGTGCCGTTGCCATGCTGAAGCCATGCTGTTGCCATGTTGTTGCCATGCGCTTGCCATGCCGTTGCCATGCAGTTGCCACGCTGTTGCCATGCCGTTGCCATGCTGTTGCCATGCTGTTGCCATGCGCTTGCCATGCCGTTGCCATGCTGTTGCCATGTTGTCGCCACGGTGTTGCCATGCAGTTGCCGTGCAGTTGCCATGCCACTGTCGTGCGATTGCAGTAGTGTTGCCGTGCGAGCGCCTTCCGATTGCCGTGTGTTTGCCGTGCTACTGCTACGCGGTTGCCTAACGTATGTCGTTCAGTGGCCGAGCTACGGCCATGCACTTGCCATGCGGACGCCTGGCTGTTGCCATGCTGTATGAGCGCTGTTTCCCTGCATATGCCACGCTGCCTCCTTGCTGGGGCAACGCAGATTACGCGCGAGGGCCGCGATCGATCCGCGTCGTTGGACGCTGCTGCCGCGCAGACGCCTCGCAACAGCCATGCCGTTGAGGTTGCCGCGGGTTGCCGCGTACTCCAGGGTCTTCGAGGGCCAAAATCCGCCAAAATCCTTATTAGTTTTGGGGGGGCCGGGAAGCCAGCCTAGTCTCCACCACTATCATTGTCATCATCATCGCCGTCATATCCCCTCCTCTTTCACGTGTCTACTTCGGCACACCCCTCAGACGTTTCGTGGCCCCATAGGGAGCTCCTCCGAAGGCCCCAGTGGCTGCGCCCGCATTCCGCCATCCCCCTCACTTTGGCATACCCCTCAGACGTTTCGTGGCCCCATGGGGAGCTCTACCCTGCGCCCGCATGCCGCCTGCCCCCTCACTTTTGGCACACCCCTCCCACGTTCCGTGGCCCCATAGAGAGATCCACCTAAGGGCCTCAGTGGCTGCGTTCGCATGCCGCCACCCCCGTCACTTTGGCACACCCCTCAGGGCCCCAGTGGTTGCGCCCGTATGCCGCCAACCCCCTCACTGTTGCACACCCTCACACGTTTCGTGGCCCCAAGGCTCCAGTGGCTGCGCCCGCAAACCGTCACCCCCCTCACTTTGGCACACCCTTCCACGTTTCGTGGCCCCACGAGGGGGTTCCATTGAAGGCCCCAGTGGCTGCGCCCGCATGCCGCCACCCCGCTCACTTTGGCACACCCCTCAGACGTTTCGCGGTCCCATAGGGAGCTCCACCGAAGGCCCCAGTGGCTGCGTTCGCATGCCGCCACCCCCATCGCTATGGCACACCCCTCACACGTTTCGCGACCCCATAGGGAGCTCCACCAACAGACCCAGTGGCTGCGTTCGCATAGCGCCACCCCCACAACTTTGGCACACCCTTCAGACGTTTCGCGACCCCATAGGGAGCTCCACCGAAGTCCCCAGTGGTTGCGTTCGCATGCCGCCACCCCCTATCACTTTGGCACACCCTCACACGCTTCGCGGCCCCACAGGGAGCTCCTCCGAAGGCCCCAGTGGTTGCGCCCGCATATCTTCTCCCGCTTCTTCGGTGCCTGTCAGCCGCAACGGGTTACATCAGCATGTGACCCGTTTCGGCTGGCCTCCGCGCCCTCAGCGGGCGGCCACAGCGGCAGCTCCCGCACTGCGGCCCCGCCCCATTTTGGCGTTCCCTTCACGTGTTTCGTGGCTACGTACGGAGCTCCACCGAAGGCGGTTCTCAGAATGGCGGTACTCACAATTGCATATGTCTGGGCCTTTCACTAAGACATTTTGTTGGGGTGGGCGGATGTTTTCCAAGCAAGCGTCCACAAAATTCGCTATGGAGGCATATTGGGCCATCTTGCACGATCTAACCCCTCGCGGCCCCTCTCGTGCATACCCAGGGGATGGTGTAGGGGCTCCCCGGAGGAGAAGAACTAACGAGGTGCTTAACCCACCTCTGCCCACGGGGCTTGTGGGCTTTTTGGAAAACTTGCGATGGGCTCCGCCGAGGGCGCCCAGGAGCGTCTGAACTGCGGGGCCTGGGCCCTTGGCTTATTTCCCCAGATTTGATCGAAGGGGCCTGAGGACACTTCACTCGGTGCATCGCAGCACGTTGGCGGACATGTGTTCCCCCCGCAAATTCCCTTTTTCTACCGCTGCTATCGATAAGCATATGTTGACAGTCATTTCACTTCGCCTGTGGTTGGCAATGCGGTGTTAGCTTCATGGCTAGATACATGCTGATCGTCTGATCTTCTATTTGGGCAACCAGCTTGTCAGATTCCTCTTGTTCTTCTGAGTCATTGTCACCATCCTATTTCGGATCAAGCGCTTTGACGTAAAAGGCGAGAGTGTCAACCGCGTGGTGCAAGCTATCCAGTCTCGTGCCGGCAATGGTGCGTTCCAAGTCCAGCATCGTGCCTGTGGCAGCTGTGTTGGCATTGGTCGCGATTGCTCCACTTTCAGGGTTACTGGCAGTTGAGAGGCAAAGTGGTAATACACTGAAGGAGGAGGAGGAGGAGGAGGACATTGAACAAGCCAAGGAGGATGGTGAGGAGGGGTTCCACTTCATGCTGTCGATCACTGTCCACGATGGCAGTTCCATTTCTTGTAGAACGCGTTTTAAATTTCCCAGCACAGCCCAGAGTTGCGGCCAAGTGGTGCGCGAGGAAGCCCGTATTCATATATCCCTTGCATCTTGCAGGAGGCAGCTTGAGTCGGAGGGGGTGGAGGAAGGAGGCTCGGAGGTAGACGATGTCTCGTAGAGTGCTGTGTCCGGCACGGGCCGCAACGGATGGCGAGCCCGTTTAGGTTGTCTCGCGTTTCGCGATCGCTTCCTCTGCCCTGCCTCGTGCTCCGCCTCGTGCTCCGCCTCGTGCTCCGCCTCGTGCTCCGCTTTGCTCCTCCCTTCCGCCTCTCGCTCCGGCCCCCGTCTCCGCCTTTGTCTCTCCTCCTGCTGCTGCTGCTTCCGGTGCCTCTCCGCCGAGAGGTGTCTGAAGGCCCCCGACTCTCTGACCCTCCAGGGACTCGGCTGGCCTCCACGGGCGGCGGCCCGTCCAGGTCGGATCGGTGCTCTACTTCGGCGGGCAGCCCGGGGCCGGCCCCGACGCGTTCGTGCCGCCCGCGCTGGCCGAGGCGGGCGTTCCCAAGGCCCCCTCGCGACGTTGCCGCCGCCGCCGTCGTCGTCGCTGTCGCCGCCGCCGTCGTCGCTTCTCCGTGCGCCGCGGAGGCGGGTCCAGCGGCCGCCGCCGTGTACGACCCCTCGCTCGACGACGTCTCGGTGCAGTGGTGCGCGGGATATATATCAGGGAGCTGAGATGGCGAAAACAAGCCCGGTTGAGTCATGTGAAAGTAGTACGAAGTAGTATGAAGGAGTACTACGTTGTATTAGTTTACTACAGATAGCTGGCTCAGTTCTCTGATGTTCGTTAAATGTGGGTGCTAGTTGCGGTTATGTTTCAAGTTGGGGGCAGAAGCGGCGGAGGTTGGTTCAAGGTAGGGGAAGTTCAGTCTTCTGAAAGTTTGCCTTGTTGTGCCCTTCGTGTTGCTATTGTCTTATATGTGCTGAGAATGGTGCTATACGTGTTGCATGAATGTTGCGCGTTGGCCTGCCGAAGGCCCCACATATCCGCATAGGCATTTAGGGTTTATTGTAAGTCCACCCCAGCACATGACTTTGCATGGGCCCGGGCAGGCGTTGCGCCATGTCTTCGAGGGCGGTGCGGAGGCTCGAAGTTAACCGCGCGCCGCGCATCGTGGGGCGCGCACCCCTACTCACGCGCCTCTGTCTTTCAAGCGCATGCGCTTCGAGCCCTGACTACGCCCAATCCTTTCCAAGCGCAAGCGCTTCGAAGCAGTAGCCGCCGCTTTTGCCGTTGAATGCACCAGTCGACAGGGCAGTGAGAGTTCGGATCACAGCCCAGCCGCCGCGTACGTTTTCGAGCTGTTTTCATGAACATTTAACGGAAAGGAAGATCTGGAGGAGGAGGAGGGGGACACGGAAGCGGGGGAGGAGGAATTTGATGATGATGAGGAGGAGAAGGAAATGGACGAGGAGGACAAGGAAAAGGAGGAGGAGGAGGAGGAGGAGGAGGAGGAGGAGGGAGGAGGAGGGCGTCATCGAAGGGCTTGCGCTGGCTGACATCAAAGATGGCCAGTCCAGGCATTCATCCTTTTCGGACCATGTTCAGAATTACGCTGGTGGCAGAAACTTCAATCACATTTCCCAGCGCTTGCGCTACCTACCCTCATTCTTGTGCGAGGCGCTTGCGCTTGAAAGTGGGACCGTAGAAAACGGTGCATTGATTTCTGACATTTTACATGCTCATGCAGTGTGTTGTTCCCCCTTGGGGCTCAGCGCCGGGGCTGGGCGTCGGGGTGGGCGGTGGGCCCAAGGCTGGGCGACGTCGGGACTCGGCGTCTGGCGGGTTCCTCAGCGGCGCCTGCCCTTGCCGCCCTTGCCCTTGCCCGCCTTGTCTTTGCCTGGAGCGTTGTTATTTTCGTTGTGCTTGTCCTTGCTTTTGTCCTTCTTGACCTCAGCGGTGCTTTTGTCCTTTTTGTCTTTGCCCTTTTCCTGGGCATTGTCCCTGCCCTTTGCCTAGACCTGAGCGGTGCCCTTGTTATTGGCGTTGTCTTTGTCCTTGCGCGGCATTTCCTTGCCCTTGGTCTTGTCCTAGGCGGTGTCCTTGTCCTGTCCATTGCTTTTGCTCTTGCCCATGTGCGCCCTGTCCCTGCTCTTGTCCTTGTCCTCGGCCCTGTCCTTGTCGCCGGGCTGCGTGTCGCTAGAGGGCTCGTCGCTGAGTAAATGTGTTCATGCAGTTTATAGGATCCATTGAATCTTGAACTCTCTGCATTGATTTTGGGTGTTGTTTTCACCCGTAGGCACCCTCTCGGCTCGAGGTTGTTGCGTGTTTGAGGAACAGGTCTCATCGCCACCATCCTATCGGATGTCGCTCGATGTGTTTCCGCGCGTCAGTGGTAGCGGAGCGTGACACTCCCAGCGGAGTGCGAAACGGTCCGCGGCGTTCCAGGGCCGTCTTGGAGGCCATCTTGGGTATCTTGGGGGCCTCGTGGGCCGTGTTGGGGCTCCTCTTGGGGCCGTCTTGGGGGCCTCTTGGGCCGTTCTGGGTCCATTTTGGAGGCCTCTTGAGCTATCTTGGGGCGACCCTGGAGGGTTGTTGGGCAGACTCGGGCCATCGGAAGGCCGAACAGAAACACATGCCAACATCTTTCAAACATCCTTGGGACATCAGTGCTTTGGGCATCTTCGGGCCTTCCTGGAAGCCTTCTTGAGGTCTCCTTGGGCCGTCTTGGAGACATCTTGGATGCCTTTGGGCTGTCTCGGGCCATCTTGGAGCCATCTTGGACCGTCTTGGTGGGCTCCTGGTCCGTCCGGCGCCGTCGGGAGCCGTCTTGGGGGCCTCTCTGGGCCGACTTAGGGCCCTCTTTGGGTGCCCCAGGGTCATCTTAGGGGCCATCTTGGGGGTCTTGGATGCCATTTGAGCCGTCTTGGGGGCCTGTTGGTCCGTGTTGGGGCCCTCTTGGGGCCGTCTTGGGGCCCTCTTGGGCCATTCTGGGGCCATCTTTGAGGCCTCTTTGGCGATTTGGGGGCGATCTTGGGGGGCGTTTCGGGCCGTTGGAAGGCGGAAAAGAAGCAAATGCCAGCATCCTTCAAACACGTATGGAACATCAATGATTCTTCGGCTTGCGCCGCACCGCCGATCCCTTGGGGGGTAGTCGCGGCAAGATTGACGCCGGGACAGGGGGCTCAGAAACTGCAACAGTGACCAGATGCCGTTTGACCGCGCTGTCAGGCAGTGTCGGTACACGAGGGGCATTGTGCCTGAGTCACAGCGAGCGCCCGTGAGTTCCTTGAGGTGGCTGGGCCATGCAAGACTGGGTAGTCAACGATGTCACTCCACCCTGCGCGGGGAACTCTAGAGCTAGCAGTGCCCGCGATCTGTATCTTGGCAGTTTTGAACTGCGCAGCAAGCATGCGCGGACTCCCCGCGGCGCGTAGTCCCACCGGGACCTTCTTGCCATTTCCAATGGCGCGCACATTGAGAATAGTTGGGAAAGCTCTCTATCTGCCAGCCGAGCGCGCGGCGCAACGTCGCGGGAGAAGAAGCAGAAGGAAGAACGTCCAGGGCATTTCGGGTGAAGGGGGGGTCGCGAGGGGAGACGAGCGCCGAGGGCATGTGTTTTTCGAGCTGGGAGCGTCAGAGACCAAGTTGAAGTCACCTTGGCGCAGGCTGGGGAACTGCGAACGGCGGGGCACATCGATCATGTCTATCCATGCCCACTCAGACGCAAAGGGACAAGCTGACCACACTTCCCACGGGCCAACAGGGGGGGTCAATTATCTTGAGAGCAGCATGTGCACGCATCGCATCTGCCATCTCATTCAGGGGATCTTCAACATGTGGCCTAACCTGGTGGAAGGATGCGGGAGAAGCCTGCTGGGGCAAGAGTGCGAGGGGCCATCTAGAAAGGCCAGCAATTCCTGACAGACCTCCCCCACCTGGCGCCGCCCTCGCGACGGAAAAGCTACCAGCGTGACAGCCAACATCTGCGCGCTGTGACTGCGAAGCCCATGGCGCGGCCCAAAACATAGCCGCGGTCTCGGCAGCCATGCTGGCGCGAGCAGGGGGGGGGAGACAGTGCGTCCAGGTCGAGAACTCCTGCAACGTATCCCCTCGGGTGCGGGGGCCCCGAGGGGCGCAGTGGCAGCGCGGCGAATGCCCGCTGCGGCGGCTTGTCACCTCCTCCCCCCCGCCCACCAGAGTTGATGGAATCACGACAACCGCGGAGGGGATTGCGCAAGATGGGGGGAACGGCTTGTCAGTGGGCCAGAGAGCAAGGTAACGCAGGAACCTTTCTCGAAATCCTGCCATCGCCTTGCAGAAGCCCGCGACCAGGGTGCCTTAATTGCCCCCGGCGAACCTGAGCTCTGCACATTCGACAACCTTAACGCGTTGCAGGGCCCACCTGGACTGCGATCGGAGAGATCCATCGGGATCGGGGATGGGCGGCTGAGCTACCCCGCGGGCTCTTCCTCGGCGGGCTGCTTTTCCCTTGCTGGCATGCCGCCCCATCCTGCTTCGGAGGGCGCAGCTCGCCTTCCGCGCGCCGGCGATCGAGGCGCGCCGCTCTGCCGCGCGCGGCTGGCCGCTGTCGAGCCACCTAGAGGGCTCCGCGGCCCAGCGCTGGCAGTGGCAGACGACGCCCGCCACTGAAAACCAAATCCCCCGACGCACGCGGCCGCGCCTGCGTTGGAAGCTGAGGCGGCGGAATCATTCCTTGCGGCGGGGCCCTCGTCGCCGCCAGCAGTGGTTCGCGCGTCGCATTCAGCGTGTCGAACTGCGCGCCAAGACTGCTCGCAGTGGGGTCCATGCGCTCCGGGGAAGCAACGAGGTTCCTCGATGGAGACGGAATCTGAGGCTGCGCCACTGACGAGTCGACAATCTGTGCTGGCTGCGCAGGCGTCGTCGGCTGCGGCGTCGTCGTTGGCCCTCTCCTTCGAAGCCGTCGATGCGGCGCTGGCTCCTTCTCCTCCTGCCGTCTCGACTTGCTCCGCATCGGTCTCCATGGCTGCGAGCTCGTCTAGAGGCTCTTGACCCGCCATCTCCATGCTTTCGATCTCCGCAAGAGCCTGCTGATGTCGGTGTACGCATTGCTTTCGCTGCGCGCGAAGGGCGTCGAAATCGGCCTCCTTGGGTTGAATGGCCTGATCCTGCGAATCCAGACGCGCCTGCAGTCGCTGCAACGCAGCCCGCTGGCGCTCTTCTGCCCCCACGGGCGGCAGAGGTGGATCGCAGTGAGGAGGATCGCACACCGTTCTCGCTCCTCATCCCCAGAGTCCCCTGCAGCTTCCCTCATTCGGATGGACACCGCCAAAGCCTTCATCTCTGCGCGCCTCCGAGTGATGCACTGCTTTCTCTTGGCCTCTGAGGCTTGTTCGTCGGTCGCTGCGGAAAACGATGGTGATGCACTGCGTGGGCTGGAAGCGCCGGCAGAATGTTCAGATGGAGGTGCCATTGCCGCCCTCCTCTTCTTCGTCTGCGAAATGCGTGCATGGGGATATCTGGCGCTGCCGCTCGGGCTGACCACGTCTCCCCCTCGACATGCGTCGGGTTGGCGTCCGCCGGGCTGACTGTTGACCCTCGTCGGCGGCTTTCGGACCCGCGGCTTTCGAACCATTCCGCGCGCCACCGGCGCCTGTTGGCCAGTGAACTGCGCGCCCCCTTGAGGCCCCTGACGATGAGGACCGGCTTGGCGGGGAGGGGCATGTCCGCGACCATGGGGCACGACATTGATTTGATCTGGCATGCACCTATACAGAACTGTCAGCCCAAAGAATTGACGGCACCACATATTTCACAGAACCAGTCATCCTGCATCGGACGTTTGGCAGAATGGTGACTAAACAGTTGGGTCTGAGCAGCAACGACTCTCAACAGCAAACGATCGTTGGTCCTCCGCTGTCGGGCTCGCCTGTGCCAGGCACCCTCTGGCTCGTTCCTTGGAATCGCGGTTGGCCGCTGCCCTAGCGACTGGCACGCTAGGCTCGGGAGGATCTGGCAGGAAGATCTCATAACAACCGAAATCCAACATACACCGCCAGGAAATGCCTCCGATGGTTCGGGCCTTAGGAGGAGAAGGAGGAGGAGGAGGAGGAGGAGGAGAAGGAGGAGGAGGAGGTTGAGGAGGAAGAGGAGGAGGAGGAAGAGGGGAAAGAGGAGGAGGAGGAGGAGGAGGAGGACGAGAAGGAGGAGGGAGCATCTTGGGAACCTCGGGGGGCACTCTTGAGGCCTCCTGGGAGCTTCCTGGGACTTCTTGGAGGCCTCCTGGGGGCCTCGGAGTATAATGTGTCCCCCCAGTTGCGATGAATCACTCTCGGGGAACACGTCGGGGGAAAAGGAAACATTAGGAATGGGACTGCTGGGCCCAGCTTTGCGACACAATCGAATCATGTGTTCCCCTCCCCCAGATACTCGGGAAACTCTTACGACGAGGAGAGAGACAGGGAGAGACAGAGAGAGAGAGAGAGAAACACTAACAGAGAGAGAGTGAGAGAGAATTATGGAGGGAACGAGAGAAAGAGAGTGGGACAGAGCGAGAGAGAGAGAGAGAGACGAGGAGGAGGAGGAGGAGGAGGAGGTGAAGGAGGAGGAAGAGACCTCTTGAGAGCCTCTTGGGGCACCCTCGGGACCTCGTGGGAGCTTCTCGGAGACCTCTTGGAGGCCTCTTGGGGGCCTCCTTGGCCCTCTTGTGTGTCTTTGGGGGCTTTGGGGGAGCCTCTTTGGCCATCTTCGGGCGTTCCTGGCCCCTCTGACGCCGTCGGCAGCCGTCTGGGGGGCCCTTCGTTGCCGTCTTTGGACCGTCGTGGGGGGCCTCAGGGCCGACCTCAGGGCCGTCTTGGAGGCCATCGTGGGCGTCTTGGAGGCCTCGTGGGCCGTCTAGGGGCCCTCTTGGGGCCGTCTTGGGGGCTTCTTGGGCCATCCCAGAGGCCATCTTGGAGGCCTCTTGGGCGCTCCGGGGGCGATCTTTGGGACTCTTGAGCCGTCGTAGGCCGTCAGAAGCTTGGAAAATGGCAAAAGCCATACACTTTGAAACCACCTATGGACGGAGGCTTTTCAGGCGGATTTGGAGCTATCTGGGACTCTCGGGCCGTCTCGGAGACCATCTTGGACCATCTTGGGTGAACTTGCGGGCCATCTTGGCAGTCTTGGAGGCCATGTAGGCCATACGAAAGCCGTTTGGGACAGGGAAAACCTTTGCAACCGGGTCTTCCGCAGGGCCGGCGGAACGGGCCAAAGCCCCAGGGGAGAGTTCTTTGGGGAAACGAGTCAAAGCCAAGGGGATAGGATTCAGGACGCCAGACACTCCTGTCGCAAGCCAACAGGGGGCGGCGGATCGAAGACGCCTAATGCGAATCACCGCCGCCCCCTGCCTTTTGAAATCGCCCATGTGGCGCTCCCACCTCCCCCCTTCCTGCTCCCCTCCTCCCTCCTCCATCCTCCCTGCTCCCCCCTTCCTCCCTCACTCCCGCCTCGCCCTGGAGGAGGAGAGGATCTGGACTGGTGTGAAGGACGTGGCGTCCTCCCAGGTACGGCGACGAGTCGGTCGCGCCCCCGAGGAACTGCGGGCTTCTGGCCTAGCTCTCCAGGATCGGTTCCCGATCGCGCTGCCACTTCGGAGGGAGAGGGGAGGAGGTCTTCCTTCGCCGACCATCGAGGGCCATCCCAGGCATCATCCCCCTCCATCCCTTCTTGACCCCACCTCCCCCCCCATCTTCTGGCTCTTCCAACTGTCTCTGTCTCCTCGTCCTCCTTCCAATCCCCCCCCCCGGCCCGCGGAGCACCGGCCCTCTAAGGTTCTGCATGGGCTGAGCCGGAGACACCAAGTGCCCTGTCAAGGTGCGCTTGCCGTAGGTGGCGCTCACATGGCGCGAGCTGATCCTCCTCCTCCTCCTCCTCCTTCCACTACTCCCTCGCCCTCCACCTGCTCCTCCACCTGCTCTTTCGCCTCCTTCTCTTCCTCCGTCTCCTCCTCAGCTTCCTCGTCCGCCTGCTCGTCCTCCTTGTCCTCATCGTTGTCTCCCTTCTCGCTCCCCCTCGTCATCCTCTCACAGCTTCCCCTCACTCTCCTCCGAAGTATGATGATCCTTCTTCTCGTCCTGATGGCCGTTCTCCTCTCTCCTCGCCATCCTGCTCCTCCTCGCCATTCTTCCTCCAGCTCCTCTTCGCTCTACTCTTCCGTTCCTCATCCTTCTCTTTCATCTTCTCCCTTTTCCCCGTCCATGCATCTACAGAGCATCCCTATCGTTCTAATTCTCCTCCTCCTCCTCCTCACGCCCCCCCCCCCGCCTGCGCTGCAGATGCCGCAGGCCAGGCCCGGTAGGACTGCCAGCCTCTGGGCGGAGGGAGACCCTGGCCGTACTCGAGACGGCAGCTGGCAGCGCCAGAACGCTGGGCAGCGTGAGCCCCTGGCACTGGAGGCCCGAGTACATGCACACGGCCAGCGCCTCCCTCCTCATCCTCTCGCCTGCTCCAGTGCCTCCCTCCTATTCTTCCTTGCTCCTCGTGCTTTCGCCAGCTTTCTCACCCCCCCCCTCCTCCAGTGCCTCCCTCGTCCTCCACCGTCCTCCACCTCCTCCTCCTCCTCCTCCTCCTCCTCCTCCTCCTCCTCCTCTACCTTCCTGTTCCTCATCTCCTTTCGCCTCCTCTTGCACAGCCTGCGCCGAGGAGGGTGGAGGGGGAGAGGGGAGCACGCAGGAGGAGGGCGACGATGGAGACGGCAACCGCGAGTACGATGAAGACTGATGAGGCAGATGATGGAGGAGGAGAGAGGAGGGCGCGAATTGGGGAAGCACCGGGTGGGGATGGAGAGGAGGACGAGGACGTGGGAGGCACACTTGAAGAGGAGGAGGGGGATGTACTAGAGGAGGAACACGGTGGAAGGAGGACGGAGGGACGTGAAGGTGCAAGAGGGTAGAGGGGGGGCGGAGACATTGTGTTGGGATGCATGTCCTCGGGCCCCTTCCTGGCGCGCTCGACACCTGGACAATTCGAGGCTGACTTGGAGTAGCCGCTCACCCTGACGCGCGGAGCGCAAGGCGGATGACTCGTCGCCACCTCAGCCTGGTGGCCACTGACTGCGGATGCGCCGTCGTCGTCGGGGTCGCCACTACTGCCACCGCCACCACAACTGCTGCCGCCGCCGCTGCCGCCGCCGCCGCCGTCGTCGTCGTCGTCGTCGCCGCCGCCGCCGTCGTCGTGTCGTCGTCGTCGTCGTCGTCGTCGTCGTCGTCGTCGTCGTCGTCGTCGTCGGGTGTTTCGTCGTCTTCGGTTCGTCGTCGTCGGTTCGTCGTCGTCGGTTCGTCGTCGTCGGTCGGTTCGTCGTCGTCGGTTCGTCGTCGTCGGTCGGTTCGTTGTCGTCGTCGTCGTCGTCGTCGTCGTCTCGGGCCTCGTCTTACGCAGGCATTTTCTTAGTGCCAGGCGTCGTCGCCGCCCGCCGTCCGCCGCCCGCCGTCCGCCGCCCGTCGTCGGCGAGGACGGCGAAGACACCGACGGGATCAGGCGGTTCGGACAGTCCAAAGTACATCCCCGTGGGTCTCCTCCTCCTCTTTCACCTCCTCCTCCTCCTCATCTTCCCATCTTCATGATTTTCTCTCCGTAGCCATTTTGGCTCAAGGCTATGCTGTTGCGGGCTGAGCCCGCATTGGCTTTCACGGATACCGCTAGTCCGCGGCAGTGCGAGGGCTCTTGAGCCCGATCAGTTCTTTGCCCGCACCATAGGGGCGTACGGGCCGCCCGCTTCTCTCACCACGTTCGTGGCATGGGGAGCAATGCGCGCAAGGAGGTGCTCCTTGGCCCCCGTTCCCCCCCGTGGGGATGTGGGCGCTGCGGGAGAGACGGGAACTGGGCGTCGCGGCTCGTCTGCCGCTGCGGCGCCAAGGCCCCCGAGAGGATCGCGAAGGCCGCCAAGGCGGAGCACGAGAAGATCGTTGCTGGCAAGGGAGGCGGCCAGGAGCAGCAGTGGCCCCGTGGAGGCGGCGCCAACGGCTCCAGCAAGGACGGCGAGAAGGGCTTGGCCAAGCAGCTTGCCGACATTAAGAAGCAGCTGGCCCAGCTCCAGTCCACGACGACCACGAAGCAGCCGCAGCCGGCTGCCGCAGCCGACGAGGAGGACCCTGAGGCCAAGGCTCTGGAGGATGCCAGGCAGTCCCTGGAGACGTTTCGCAAGGTGGCCCAGAGCAAGTCCTCGTCGGAAGCTGCCAAGAAGTTCGCGAATGAGGAGATCGCGAGGCTGCAGGAGAAGATCACGCAGGCACGGTCTCCCGAGCTCCAGCAGCTCTCCATCACCCAGAAGATCACGCGCGCCAAGGCCTCGGCGGCTAGCTGGCGCGAGAAGGCTTCGCAGAAGGAGGAGGAGCTCAAGAACATTCAGGGCAAGCTTCAGCAGGAGATTGACAAGTTCAAGGCCGCTGCAGACGAAGCTCAGGCCCGAGTTGAGGAGCTACAACGGCAAGCAGCTGAACAGGTCGCCAAGCTTGCAGGAGCGGCAGCCGCGGCCCCATCGGCACCTGCGGCGGCAAGGGCTCCACCTTCGTATGAGCTTGACCCCGAAGCCGTCTTGGCCCAGGGCAGTGAGTTCCAGGATTGGTACCGCAAGTTTCAGGCAGAGACCCAGGGGGCCCAAGGTCAGATCCTCATGGAGATGCTGCGGGCCCAGGCTCCTTCTGCTGCTCAGCACGGTGGCCTGCCTCCTTCAGGTGCTGGCGCAGGCGCCGCTGTTCACGTCGACCAGCCCGCTGGAGACGACGACATCGACATGGAGCTGCTCGGCGCGGACGGGTTCGAGGCCAAGTCAGAGGAGCTGCGCAAGGCCACGGTGGAGCTCCGCCAGGCCAGGCCCGAGGACCAGGAGGTTCTCAAGCGGAAGGTCGCGGCAGCGGCAGCGGCCCTCGGCCTCGGCAAGCGACAGAAGAGGCTTTGACCGCTCCAAGGTCAAGGACCGCAAGGACAAGACTTGGAGATTCTGGTCTGCGAACGCCAACTCCTGGAGCTCGCTCCAGACGGCCATCGACTGGCAGAGGGGTTGGGGTGACGCCACCAGGCCACACGTTCTTTTGTGTCAAGAACATCGGCTCAAAGATGCATCACGTATTCGTTCGGCTGCAGGGTGGCTTCGGTCTCGGGGCTACCATGGTGCCTTCGGCGCGGCTCGCGCCACAGGGTCTCAGGCCTCTGAGAGCTCGGCGGGAGTCCTCACCGCGGTGTCATCCTACGTGGAGTTCGCGGGGCTCGGCCTCCAGAGGTTCGGGGTGGACGCCGCTTTCGGCCCGCGCCTCAAGATAGTCAGGGCTAACATGATTTTCCCTCACGGTATGTACCTCATGTCGGTCTACGGCCACGTTGAGAAGGTGGCCTACTCTGCGTTCTGGGACATGATGTCGCAGCTTGGCGGCAAGTTGCGCAGGTCCAGAATCCCTTGGGTCATCGGTGGTGATTTCAATCAGGACCCGTTCGACGAGAGGATCCTGAAGTGGGCCGACATGCTCCAGGCCACGGTCATCGCCACGCCTGGGCCGACGTGCTTCTCAGCCCCGGAGGGCTCGAAGATAGATTTCTTTATTGTCAGCCAGGGGCTCGCCTCGTGCGTTTCGGATGTCAGGGCCCTCTACGGCGCTCCAATGTCGCCGCACGTAGCCATCAGCATGCAGCTCACGGGACCCTCACTGGACATTCCTGTGCACGTTCGTCAGACGTGGAAGGTCTTCCCCACTGAGCGTCCCATAGGCTGCCTCAACCACCCCATCGAGCTCACCTGGTCTTGGGAGCCAGGAGCAGTACCGTCGATGGGGCTGGAGGACGCTTGGAAGGAGTGGATCGCGAACTTGGAGGAGGAGCTATGCTGGCAGTTCGACCTTGTGGGCAGGGCTGCACAACCCTACAAGGGCAGGTCTGGCGGCTTCGTGAGGAAGGCCGTTCCACTGGCAGAGGTCATGAGGAAGGCCCCTGTGTCAGGCAGCGGGGAGGTCATGCGGACATGGAGGTCCCTCGCCTCGATCATCCGACGTGCACAAGGGCTCCGATGTGGCTTGTTGGAGGCAGGCAAGGAGATGGTGGCCAGGGCGGCAGCGCCGCCAGACGACACGCTGAGCGTCAGGCTGCCCGACTACGCCCAGGGCCACACGTTCGGGCAGATGGCGAATTGGGCGGCGAGCTCGGTGGGTTCGGCTACCGCGCCTCAGGCTACGACGGCCTCCCTCGCCTGGGCCCACTCGCTCCGACCTGCGAAGGCCGAGACGGCGCCTGCCCCCGCGGGCCCTCTCGGAGTGGAAGGGCCCCGCCCAGCGGGCGAGGCGCCGCATCGGCTGGAGGAGGAGCTGGTGGGTTGCACGGCGCCTACCACGCAGATCGGTTCGTGTACTTCGATTGCGCCCTCGTCGGGGACCTCGGCTTCCCTCGCCTGGGCCCACTTGCTCCGACCTGAGAAGGCTGAGACTCCGAACGCCTCCGCACGGCCCCCCCTCTTTGAGGGCGCGCCCTGCCCAGCAGGCAGTCTCGGAGTTTCGCTGGAGGAGGAGAAGCGGGGTGCCAGGGCGGCAACTTCGCGAATGCCAATGACTTCGTGTTCTTTGGATGGACAGCAGGTGCTGCTCGGGTTGCTTGAAGAACTTGATGCCATCGACGGGGCGTCCTTGCACGGCTTTGACACCATCGGGCTAGGCTACCACCAGATTCGGCACACGATTGAGCTAGGTGGGGAGGACCTGGACACGCTCTGCGTCAAAGTCAGCGACGCGGCCCAGGAGGCCTCGGCAGCGGCTGCCAAAGCGGAACTCCACGAATGGCGTGAGTGGGCCCAGGCCTCAGTCAAGGCTGGGGGGCGCAAGGCGCACAGGTTCATCAAGCAGTCGCCCCAGGCCTCTGGGCCCAAGGCCCCCGAGGGTTGGGCTTTGCAGGGAGATGGTGCAGTCGATGCCATGGTGGAGGAGTGGTCGCAGTACTGGGATGACGCCAAGCAGGACATCTCGGACCAGCAGCACACGATGGCGAACAACTCCGACCTTCCCCGCCCCACACTTGATAGAGTTCGACAGGCCTGCCGTTCGTTCGGTCACAACGTTGGGCTTGGTGTGGATTGCGTCAACCCACGTTCGTTTTTGTTGTTAGATGACCAGTTCATCCTCAGGCTGATCGACGTCATGGTGATGTGGGAGGCGGACCCACGCTTGCCTGAGCGATGGCCGACAATCATGGTCTTCCTCTCCAAGCCAGACGGATCTGGGGTCAGGCCCATCGCCCTCATATGCTCCATCCTCAGGGTCTGGGGCAAGGTCAGGCGCGACATGGCCAAGGAGTGGGAAGAGCAGCACGCCTCCCCTGTGTTTTGGGGGGCCAAGGATCGTGAGTGTGATCGGGCAGGTTGGATCCATCAGATGCTCGCTCACTACGCAGCAGTTCGAGGACTGGACACGGCCACATTGGCCACGGACCTGGACAAGTTCTACGAGAGGGTTTGCCATTTCGTGCTGTTCAATGAGGGGGAGGGATGTGGGTTCCCAGTCAAGCTCCTCAGGGCAGCCTGCGGCCTCTATGCTGGCCCCAGGGCAATCAGCTTTCGCGGATGTGTCTCAGGCGTTATCAGGGCGGTGGGCACGGTGCTGGCTGGTTGTTCACTAGCCACATCGCTGGCGAGAGTCTTGGTCTACAGGCTACTCACGACGTTGGCGGCAGCTCACCCATCAGTACACATTCGGAACGTAATCGACGACATCAGCGCGCAGTCCCTGGGCACGGGCTTCCACGTCGTCTCCCAGCTGGGCGAGGTCGGGAGCAAGCTCATTGGGGGCCTGCGCGATCTGCGCCTCGTGCTGTCCGAGAAAAAATGCAAGTTCCTGGCGTCGTCCAAAAAAGTTGCACATGGATTGCTGAGTAGGTGGAACATGTCCTTCGAACGCCGAGGAGTCATCAGGAGCCTCGGCACGGATTGGCAAGTGAGTTCGGCTAGGTTGGCCCCCATAGCCTCCAAGAGGGTTGGGCTCTGCATCAAGCGCTCTGCGAGGCTCCGTAGTCTTAGGGGGGCGGGCGCCCCTGTTGGCCACATTCAGCGTGCGGGCCCCCAAGCCTCCGCTCTCTGGGGCTGTGCTGTTAGGGGGCTCCCGTGGTCTTCCCTCAACAGAGTCCGTCAGCAGGCCCTTTTGGCCCTGGCTCCCATGAAGCGGGGCGCCTCGGTGGGTCTCAAGCTGCACTCCTTTAGGCTCGGTAGGAAGGTCGACCCTGTGCTTTTGTATTTCCGCCAGGTCGTCTTTGAATGGGCCAGGGCCCTCTGGGAGGCCACCCCCAAGCTAGAGATCCTGCAGGCCACCTTTGAAGATGCCGTCCGTGTGCTGGCCAACACAAGCAGACCCTGGTCTCGGGCGACTTCGCCCGCTCACGTGTACGTTCTGGCGTGTGGTGACTTGGGCTGGACAGCACACTCGGCACGTTCTGTCACTCTTCAGACAGGAGAGCAGATTGATCTGCTCCGCCTGGCGCCGCGCGTGGTGGCCGACCTGGCAGGAAAGGCTGCCAGGGAGATGTCGGATTACCGCGCCCTCAGCTCTCGTGCTGGATCCAGCTCCTGGTGCCGTCCGATTTTCTGGCAGCCAGTCGAGGGTCTCCTAAGCAGGACGACCGCCACCTGGACCCGAGCTCATCAGAACTCGTTTAGGGCGGTTGTCTCGGGCACCCATTGGCCTCAGGAGAGGCTGCATCGGCACGGCCTCGCCGCGTCGCCGTTGTGTTTGCTGTGTAAAGGGGAGCCTGGGACCGTGTTTCACCGTCGGTTCGTCTGTGAAGCTTGGGAAGAGGACCGCAGGCAATTTCTGTCGGACGAATGCCGACAGGCTGCACGCCTCGTTCGCTCCTTGGGCGGAGATGCGGAGCTCTTTGCTAATGGCCTCTTCCCTTCTCCTCGTGAGCTCGTCCCTCCTCCGCTCCGCTCGAGTGAGTGTCCGATTTTGTGGATTCGCAAGCCTGAAGACGGGATGCTCAGAGGCCGCCTCTTTACAGACGGGTCGGCCCTGCACCCGTCCGACGAGTCCCTCCGACGGGCTGGATGGAGTGTGGTGCAGGTCGACTCGGAGGGTTCTCTAGTCGCTGCCGCCTTCGGCCCTGTCCCCTGGGATCTCTCGCCCTTCCAGTGGGCGCGAGACGGAGAGGACTACGCTTTTTATATGTTGCCGCAGCTCGCGATCCCGCATGAGGTCGAAGGCATTTGGTCGGACTGCGAGGGCTCGGTGACAGCTGCTCGCGCTCGGGTGGCGTCTGTCTCCGCACAGAGCCCGCAGGCCCATATGTGGTCTCGGATCCATGCGGAGTTTGAGGAAGGGCTCCCTGTCTTCAAAACGAAAGCCCACCTCTCGGAGACTGACCTGGCCATGGGCACGTCCACGCCGTGGGAGCGGAAAGCGAATGCTATAGCCGATGTCCTGGCCAAGCGGGGAGCGGCCCAGCACCCGTCGGTCCAGCAGGCCGCCAGCCAGGTCCGTGGTCTCAGCTTGTTGGGTCGGGAGGTGGGCCAGTGGGCTGGGCGGCAAGAGGTGCTTATGTCTCAAAGGGGCTGGGTGGACTCCCAGGGGCTCCCTGAGGTCTCCGCGGCGCCTAGGGGCAGTAGTAGGCCTGCTCGGCAGCCCGCCTGTCCCCGCGCTTGGGTGCACTTTAGAGCGGTCCTCTCGGATGTCTCCCAGGGCCCCCAGGACCCCGAGTTAGGAGTGTTGGTGCAGCTTACAGGGCACTGCCTTCGAGCCACCAGTGTGTTCAACGAGGCTGGAGCCAGCGTGCTCGCTGGCCACAGGCTCATCTGTTGTGTGGCGTGCGGGGCCTTCGCTTGGGGCAATGTGCGGGCCCTCTCCCAGGCTTGCCATCCCGCCCAAGCGGGCAAGGGACTGAGGCAGCAGAAGGCACGCCTGCTGGCACGCAAGTTCCCCAGGTGGCTTTCAAAGTATTCGGGCTGGTCGCTGGGCGAGTTGGAGATCCCGACCCCGTCTGATCTCCTGTCTCTCGCCTCCACTATCCTAGCTGCGCGCCCGAGGCCCGCAGCGCCGTCTGCCCATCCCGTTTTCCGTGCAGGACCGCCGTGGCGCCCCAGCTGGACACCTGGTGTCCTGCTCTCGCGCTTCGGCGTCTCTCTCGTGACCCTCCCGTTCTGGGAGGCCCAGGCGCGCGCCGCCCTCGGCGAGGGGCAGGAGGCGGGCGGGGCCCCCGAGGATTGCGAGGAGGTGTAACTCGTTTTCGGTTTCATTTCGGCGGTCGGCGGCTTGGACGTCTTCCGCTCTCGTCTCATCTTCATGATTTTCTCGTGGTCCTCCTCCGCTTCCCCATCCTCGGTGGAGGGGCAGAACAATTAGGCGGCTGTTTGTTACCAGTCGGCAACGGCGCGGGAATGGTCATTCCGCCAAGCGCCACACATTATTTAATCGCTTCGCTCATTCCGCCGGCCCATATTGTCGCACCGTTGTGGGCTAGCCGAGTTTTGGGGGCCGTTTTGGGGCCTCTTGGGGCCTCTTTTGGGCCTCTTGGGCGCCTCTTGGGGCGTCTTGGGGGCCTCTTGGGGGCCTCTTGGGGCCTTTTTGGGGCCTCCTGGGCGCCTTCTGGGGCGGAGGGCTCGATTTTTCAGTTCTCGGTTCCCCTCTTGAGCCCCTCTTGGGCCCGTCTTGGGGCCTCTTGGTCCGTCTTGGGCGGCACTTGGGCCGTCTTGGGGGCCCTCCTGGGCCGTTCCGGGGCCGTCTTGGGAGCCTCGTGGGCCGTCTTGGAGCGGTCTTGGGGGCCTCTTGGGCCGTCTTGGAGCGTCCGGAAGCCGAAAAAGCCAGAACACAAAAAACATAGAAAAAAACAATGAAAATCAACGATTTTGGCCTCTTGGGGCTCTCTTCGGAGGCCTCTTGGAAGGCTCTTGGGGCGTCTTGGAGGCCTCTTGGGCTGTCTTGGGGGCCTTTTGGGCCGTCTTGGGGTCATCTTCGGCGTCTTCGAGCGCTCTTTGGGCGTCTCGGGGGCCTCTTGGGCAGTCTTGGGGGCCTCTTGGGGCACTCTGAGCGCGCTCTGGGGAGCCTGAGAGGCCGCACCCAGAAGGAAAACCATCTCTGGTAGCGGTCGGGCGGCGGTCGGGCGGCGGTCGGGCGTTGGTCGGGGTACTTTTCGCCGGGGGACCCCCAGGGGCCGCCCCGCGCGCGCGAACTAGAAATACTGTTAATACTGTTAACCAGTTACCGGAGATCTTAGCACGCCCTGGCCCGTTGGGCCGGCGAATTCCACGCACGCCGACCTCGGACACTTTGTTTTCCACGCTGCCGTTTCCTTGAGTAGCAGCGGGAAGAGGAACAGGGACCCCAGAGGAGAAGCAGGATGACGTGGATGTTGATGCTGATGCTGATGCCGATGATGATGATGATGATGATGATGATGATGATGATGATGATGATGATGATGATGATGATGATGCTGATGCTGATGATGATGATGATGATGCTGATGATGATGATGATGCTGATGATGGTGATGATGCTGATGATGATTATGACGATGATGCTGATGATGATGCTGATGATGATGATGAGGAGGAGGAGGCGGAGCGGAGAGGTAAACGCTTCTCCCACACCTCGTCACCCCCCGTCCCCTCCCACTCCCTTCTCCCCTCCCACCCCTCACAGCAGTCAACAGATCCTGGAGACTTGGGCGTACCTGGTCCAGGTATCTTTTTCGAAGCGGTGGTCTGTTCCCTTCTCTTCGTACACTTCTCGTTCCCCTCGCCATGTCTCCAGCACCCCTGCCCCTCCTCAGACCCCAAATAATCCTGTAGAACTCAATGGAATGCAAAGTCGCGTGAACTCTCTAGAACTTCCTCACCTCCCTCCCTCCCTCGACGCTTCTACGAGCTTGTGGGGCGGCTGACAGCAGATGGTGCTTGATGGCGTGCGACCTGTGCCCCGCCCAGCAAAGCGCCAACATGGGTCAGCCACCCCCGGCTTACAGTGCGGGAGGTGAAGGTAGGCCCCTCTTGGCGCTTCGGCGCGCGCGCGCGCGTGCGCGGTGCCGAGGTCGCTGGGCCTGGCCACCGCACGCCCCCGCGTGGGCGGGCGGCCGCGCCGGACGGCTGGGCGCCGTTGAGGGCCCTTGCGCGGCCGCGCGGCTCGTCTGGTTGGGGCGGCCGAAAGGAGGACAAAAGTGGCAAGGCCGGCAATCAGGACGAGCGCGCGATGCAAGGGGGCCTTTGCGTCCCGCATTTTTGGTTTCCGGAGTTTCTTCGGCAGTGAATGCTGTAAGGGGTCCACATTCTTGTGAGAAAGTCGCTCCGGTATTCTGGCGCCAGCCTGCATAAAGGCCTGGACGGTTTCATCGTTTTTGTTTTCGGGTATGGCTGTCGTTTTCCCTCTCCCCGCCTTATTCACCGATGATTTGTGTACCTGTATGATGATGATGATGATGATGGTGATGATGACGATGATGATGCGTATGTGGATTATGCTGGTGCAGATGATGATGGTGATGATGATGCAGCTGCTGATGATGCTGATGACGACGACGACGATGATGATGATGAGGTAACACCGATGACGCCGAGGCTGATGATGCTGGTGGTGATGACGATGATGACGACGACGATGATGCTGATAATGTCGATACTGATGATCATGATGATGCTGCTGATGGTGATGAAGATGATGCAGATGATGATGCTGGTGATGATGGCTATGATGATGCTGAGGATGATGCTGATGATGCTGGTGGTGTTGGTGATGATGATGATGCGGATGATGTTGATAATGATGCTGATGACGATGATTGTTATGGTGGTAACGATGATGATGTGTTTATGGTCATGCTGCGGATGCTGGTGATGATGATGAGGATGATGTTGATGAAGATGATGATGATGATGACGATGAAGAAGATGATGATGACGCTGATGCTGACGATGATGGTGGTGATGGTGGTGATATTGGTACCAGGGCTGACGATGACACCGGTGATGTTGATACTGATGAGGCTGCTGATGATGAAGACGATGCTGATGTTGGTGATAGTGGTGCTGATGATGATGAGGACGGTGATGATGAGGATATTGATGAAGATGATGATGCTGCTGCTGATGATGATGATGAGGATGAGGATGAACATGAGGATCAGGATGAGGATGTGGATGACCATGACGCTGATGATGATGAGGCTGATGATGATGATGATGATGATGATGATGATGATGATGATGGTGCTGCTGTTGCTGCGGCGGCTGCTCATGACTATAATGATGATGACGATGCCGATTGCAATGACGATGAAGCTGGTGATGATGAGGACTCTGATGATGCTGATGATAATGTTGATGCTGACGATGATGCTGACGATGGTGATGATGATGATGATGCTGATGATGCTGGTACTGATGATGATTGTGTTTCTGACCATGATGCTGGTGCTGCTGATAATGCGGCTGGTTATGAGGATTTTATCATGATGCTGCTGCTGATGGTCATGATGACGATGGTGCTGATGCTGAAGCTTTGATGCTGATTATGCTTATACCGATGATGCTGATGAAGCTGATGAGGACGGTGATGATGACGTGGATGATGATGATGATGGTGATGCTGATCCTGCTGTTGATGATGCTGGTGCTGATGATGCTGATGATGATGATGATGCTGATGATGCCGTTGATGCTGATGATGCTGATGATGATGATGATGATGATGATGTTGATGATGATGATGATGCTTCTGATGATGATGATGATGATGCTGATGATGATGCTGCTGATGATGATGATGCTGATGATGATGATGATGATGATGATGGTGATGCTGATGCTAATGATGACGAGGCGGAGGAGGGTGAGGAGGAGGAGGATGAGGATGAGGACGGGGAGGAGGATGAAGATGATGATGCGGAGGAGGCGGAGGAGCAGGACAAGCACCAAGGAGGAGTGGGAGGGGCAGAGGGAGGGGTGCGGGGGGGGGAGGCTGAGCAGGCGGAGAAGGATGATGAGGAGGCATGCGGGACGAGGCAGGAGGGAGGAGGGATGGCTTCCAGAGGGGGATGGGAGGGCGGATGCCGAGGAGGTGAAGGCGGAGAGGGGGTGTAGCTGAGGGTGTCGGGAAGAGGCGGCGAGACGGGTGAGGAGCATGAGCTGGAGAAAAAAGTAGGGGGAGGCAGAGGAGGAATACGCTTGGAGGAGGCGGAGGAGGATGATCAGGCGCAGGAACAGGGTGAGGACGAAGATGTGGAGCATGCTACTGTTGCTGGTGATGCGAATGAGGATGAGAAGGACCAGGAGGAGGATGAGGAGGATGAGGCGGATGATGGGGAGCGGGTGCAGTTCGAGGAGGATGAGGGCTCGAAGGGATGAGGAGGTGGAGGAGGAGGATTCGAGCGATGATAGTGAAGACCATGATGCTGCTGATGATGCTGATGATGGTGATGGCGATGGTGATGATGCTGATGATCATGACATTGCTGCTGGTGTTGATGCAGATGCTGCCGCTGCTGCTGCTACTGCTGATGATGCTGCTGCTGCTACTGATGATGATAACGATGCTGATAACGAAGAGGATGCCGATGCCGATGACGATGACGATGAAGCTGATGAAGCTGATGATGATGATGATGATGATGATGATGATGATGATGATGATGATGATGATGATGATGATGATGATGCCGATGATGATGGTGGTGATGATGATGCTGATGATGACGATGCTGAGGATGACTCCGTAGCCATTTTGGCTCAAGGATCAAGCCGAGTTTTTTTCTGATTTTCCGGCCGTGTGGAGTCTTCCGGCCGGAAAAACAAACGCGGGAACGCCAGCGGTTCTTCTGACTGTATTTCCGCCCCACTTACCCCTTCCCGCATCTGCTCCGATGGCCGCCACCGCCGGCGAGACGTCTCAGCAGTCCCAGAAGAAGTCCAGGACGGAGGTCCTCGTGGAAGCTCTACAGATGATAAGTTGCTTCTTATTTTCGGGACGATGGTAGGGCATCAGGCGGAGGTGGACCAGAGGTTCGGGCAGGTCGACAGACAGTAACAGGGGGTGGGTGAACGCATTGACACGCAAGATAGCCAGTTGGCTGCACTTGAGCATTGTATGGGGAAGGTGGAGCAGGGAGGAGCAGGTCAATCAGGAGGTCAGGGGTCCAGGCATGCTGATCGTGAGGCCGGTGGACGTGATGTGCCTATTTCTCGCCAGACGGTCATGTGTGCTGGGAGGTTTCCGGACTACACGGACGGCAATGATATGGAGAAGTGTTTGAAACCTTGGCTAGACCAGCGGAGCGACGCCATTGCAGATACATTATTCCCCTCATCAGGTACTACATGCAATATCACTTTCAAGACCAAGAAGCTCATGTGGGAGGCGATCAACGGGTACAAGGAGGGCGCCAATATCAAGTTCGAGAACAACGACCTTTTTCATGAAGGTCGACATGAGCCCTGAGGAGAGGAAGGAAGCCAGGAATATCGGGGTGGTTATGGACGTCCTCCGGGTGGCGGCGCTTGAGGAAATGTTCAAGCCCAAGTGGTCCCTGAAGCAGGTGGTGCGGGTGACCGCTGGCCGTGAGCGGGGGATCATGTGCACCGTCGACGTGGACAAGGGCACCATCAAGTGGGGAGAGCTTTCCGCCACCGTGCTCTCCGCCGCGCAGAAGACCGAGGCGGAGCCCAAGCTCGGGGAGCAAGCGCTGTGAGACAACAGCGAGGGAGACGTTTCACCAACCCACGATTGCGGGTTACATATTATTTCTGGGAGTCTGTCGGGATTATCGTGGGCGCGTTTGAAAGAATTCATTTGCAAACTTGACCTTGGGCGTGTTCACTGGGGCGTGTTACTCATCCAGGAGGGTTTGCTGGGAGGGGCGGCTGGCGACTGCAGCGCTGGTTGTCTGAGTTTCCAGTGTCAGCAACATTCTGTGCTGTTTGCCCCTGGGAAGGACGGCGTGCGCGGCGCATGCATGTTGGTGCATTCCCGACATGATGGTCATGTAGACATACCCATAGTACATAATGATTCTTTGATTACCACCTATCTACATTGGCAGCGGAAGAGATTCTTATTGGCAGCCGCTTATTTTCGGCAGCGTGCGCACGGGATGGCAGTGTTCCAGGACGAGCTGGATGACGTGGAGAAGGCGATCCAGAGTCATCTTCTCCCCGGCGACGTCCTTTTCTTGGGTGCCGATGCGAACGCCAGTGCGGGCGCGACGACGTGCAGCGAATAATATGATACAGCGGGCCCGTAGGGGGGCCCACAAGGGACGCCCGAGGATAGGTACTTCTACACTTGTGTATGCGGCGGGGCCTCAACGTGTGCAACACTTTCGATTTCTTGCCAGAGGAGGATCGTTGCACTTGTTGGTCTGGGGGTGGCCGTTCTTACATCGATTGCGCCGTCGCACACGAGCCTTCGTTTGCACGATCTTGCGTTCCAGTTCACCTACCAGTCGAATCCACGAACCTTTGCGCTTTGGCCACGGAGGTCGTTGTGAGAGGAAACAAGCTTCGAACGCAAAGGAAAAGTATTTCGCGGTGGCTATCTGACGTCTGCGCAACTTTCCGTGGAATACGGCATGACATTGGAAGAGTTTGGCCAGGCGAGGAGCAGCCGAGGAGGCTGGCCGCGCGCCTCGGCCCCGAAAACCACGCATGCGAGAGGGGCAGCTAATCGTGTTGAGGGAAAACGCCTCATGGGACGTTACATTTCGATCGAGCTCACGAGCCTGTACAATAACGCTGCCATGGGGAAGAGCCGGGCGATCCTGGGCAATCCTGGCAAGGAAGCTTGGGGAAAGAAGTCCAAGGCGCGACGTGGGCGGGTATTCGCGAAAAAACCGGATGGTAAGCCGTGTCTGAGCCAGGGGGCCATCAGCGAACGTGTGCACAACAATTTCGCGATTCAGTTCAAGGGCCCTGACCATTGGGGGCCTCCGCAATGGGTTTACGGCGAGTTCCCACGCAACCACTTGCGCAACATCGACGCCCTAGACCTCGACCCGGCCATCTCCAACATGAAGTCGGGCAAAAGCTGTTGTCGTCTTGATATGGTCGTCGCAGAGATGGCGAAGCCGTTGCTTGAGGTTTCAAAGCAGGATAACAGCTCCAAGATCGAGCCGGTGCGGGATGCGCGGCGCGAGGCGTTGCTCAACGATTTGCTCGGCCGGAAAACCGGGCAGGCCCCGGCGAGCCATCGCTTAAAAGCGTCCGACGTGCCATTGTGCGTGCTCTCGCCAGCAGAGCGGCAACGCACCGAGCAGGACTGGCGACGCTCTGGCACGAACAGCGGAACCTTCAAGATTGATATTGAAGCGTCGTTGCTTCCAAAGGGCATGGTAGTCTCGCGTCCTGACGAGTTGCGGCCGATCTCATTGGCACCGGTGCTCCGAAATCTTCTCGGAGACCTGGCTCTGGCGAAGACGCAGGGGCTCTTGAAGGAGACAGGCGCGCGGCGCTTTGCATGCAGAGCGGGGTGCCAAGTCAACGGCCTTACATTGTTGATCAGAATACTGGGCCAGGAAAGTTATGGAATGGCGTGTGCCTTTCCTGTTGGGGGCCGCTGACATGCCCGAGTGTTTAGACGAAGTCGGCCATTCTTTTCTGCTCGAGGCGCTTCTGCGCAAGGGCGTGGATCGCGCCATCGCGGCGTGGCGTGTCCGGGAGGCGAGAAGCTCCGTGCTGCGTCTTCGACTTGGCGGAGTCGACGTGCCGCCCGTCTGTGTGGCCAGGGGAATCCCGCGAGGATCTCGGCACGGTCCGTCGCCATGTGCCGCGGTGATTCGTTGCTGTACTGAGACGGCGTGGAAATCTTGCCGTCGTGATCGATTGGGTTATCGACTGGGCGATTCATCTATGCCCTTCGTGTTGTTTTGTGACAATATCTTCATCTTCGCTCGCGATGCCAACGATTTTTTAGAGATCCACTCTAGATTGCAGTTTGCGCTCGTCATGGGTGGGTGGAAGCTGCCAGGTGACCGCCTGGCCTACCAGATGGACAAGTGCGTCGGGGGCGCGTGCGGGACGCAACTCAAGGAATGCAAGGAGAAGCCTCGGGGTACTTTCTTCAAGGCACTCGGCCCCATGATCAATGCAGCATGCGCATGCCATGCCGACGCCACCGTCAAGAGGCGCGGCTTCAGTGCAGCCATCGAGAGGCAGCGCTCGCTATGGAGTTGCCCGAGAGTATCGCGGCAGAAGAAATTGAGCCTGATGTGCAAAGTAGTAGCATCAAGTTATTCTTGGTGCGTGGGCGCATGGATTGCCAATCAGCGCGAGCTGTCTTCCCTGGGAGCAGCTTTTACGAAGGCGGCGAAATCCGCTTTGCGGGTTCCTCGGAGGCAGAGCGACGCCGACGAGGCGCGCCACCGGGCCTGCGTCCGCGTTCTCCGGGAGACGATTATCAAGGCTGGGCTGTCCGACGTCGACGTCTACGTGCTGAGCAGGGCGCGCGGCTACGCGGGCCACCTCGCCCGGGCCATTCGCCGGGATCCAGGGCATCTGGTCGGCGCTGTTGTCCGGCGCAGGGATTCCGAGTGGAGCCGCAACGTGACGGGCGCCATCGGTCATCGGGGACACCCAGGCCGGTTTGCCCCATGGCGTTGGGAAAGACAATGCGATTCTTATTCTGCCGCGCAAGACGCGTCTTGGATGGATGCCGCTATCGACCGAGAAGCTTGGGAAGCCCATCGGTTCTCTTGGGTCGCGCGCATGATGGGGCACAAGCTGCTGAACGCCAGTGTCTGAAGTCTCCGAACCTACATAACTTTCAGGTGGTTTGAATAGTCATTGTGGTCGAGAGGCGTATACTTCGTTCTCCTGAGCCGAGCAGTTTCGTGAAGCAGCGGTAGGAGCTTATGCTCATACAGGCCGCATTATTATTATTATTATTATTATTATTTTTTAAAATTATAATTAGTAGTAGTAGTAGTAGTAGTAGTAGTCGTAGTCGTAGTAGTAGTAGTAGTAGTAGTAGTAGTAGTAGTAGTAGTAGTCGTGGTAGATGCTAGTGGCGATGCTGCTGGTGATGGTGATGACGCCGGTGCTAATGCTGATCGGTTCGATGGTGATGCTGATGCTGGTGTTGATGATGCGGATGGCGATGATCATGATGCCGATGCTTCTGCTGATGATGATAAAGACTCAGCTGCTGTTGCTGACGAAGGCTGTGATGTTGTTGAGTATGACTCAGCTGTTGATGATGACGATGATGTTGCTGCTGATGGTGATGGTACTGGTTGCGATCGTGATGCTGACGGTGGCGAAGATGATGCTGCTATTGATGACCATGATGTTGGTGATGGTGGTTCTGTTGTTGATGACGCTGCTGCTGCTGATGTCGATGCTGCTGCTAATGCTGATGATGATGCGAACCATGCTGTCGAGGATGATGCTGGTGATGCTGATGATGATGGCGCTGAATTTCGTGCTGAAGACAATGCCTTCGCTGATGATGATGATGATGGTGATGGTGATGATGATGATGCTGGTGGCGGTGTAGACGATGCATCTGATGCTGCTGATGATGGTGATCGTGACGACAATGATGATGACGATGATGATGCTGATGCTGATGGTGCTAGTGATGATGACGCTGGTGATTGTGATGCTAATGTTGCTGAACATGACGCGGATGCTGTTTATTATTGTGATGCGGCTCGTGATATTGGCGATGGTACGTATGATTCCTGTACTGATTGCGGTGACAGTGATGATAACGATGATGAACATGATGTTGCTGATGATGGTGACGATGATGATGATGGTGCTGTTGATGATGAGGTTGATGATGATGCAGATGATGGTGATGATGATGACGATGATGATGATGATGCTGACGATCTTTCGGAGGAAGATGTGGTGGAGCAGGAAGAGGAGGAGTAGGAGGAGGAACAGGAGGATGCAGAGGCGGATGATAATGATGCTGATAATGTTGATGCTGGTGATGATGATGCGGAGGAGGATGAGGAGGAGGGCCCGCTTTCCCAACCCGCCCGCTAGGATCAGCCCGCCCTGTTTCCCCGTCTGGTTCTGTCACGTTGTTTCTGGTCCTAGCCCTCCTCTTTGTAATTTCTCTCCTGCTCCATTCTTCTCCCTCCCCCTTCCGTCTGTCTTCTCGTCCCTTGTGTAGGGGTTTCACTAAATGCACGTGGCAGGTAAGGAAGTCATACCCCCAAGGGGGGTATGATCGAAGACGAAGATGACGGGTACCGAGGGTTGGGGATATACGTGTTGATTGGCACGCGGGCAGATGGAAACGAACCGTGTTAACATATTTGTTATTGATGGTGTTGTTGTTGTTGTTGTTAGTGTTGTTATTGATGTTGTGCTTGTTATTGTTGTGGTTGTTGCTGTTGTTGTTGCTGTCTCTGTTGCTGTTCCGGGAATGTTTGCTGCTGTGGTTGCTGCTGTTGCTGATATCAGTACTGTTGTTGCCGTTGTTGTTGTCGTTATCGCTGTTGTCGTTGTCGTCGTTGGTGTTGTAGTTGTTGTTGTTGTGGCTGTTGCTGTTGCGGTTGGTGATGCTGTCTGCCATTGTGAGTACTATTACGATTGGTGTTGTTTTTGATGTCGTTGTTGTTGGTGTTGTTGTTTCTATTGCTGTTGGTGTCGTCGTCGTTGTTGTTGCGGTTGCTGTTGCTGTTGCTGTAGTAGTAGTAGTAGTAGTAGTAGTTGTTGTTGTTGTTGTTGTTGTTGTTGTTGTTTTTGTCGTTGTCGTTGTCGTGGTTGTTGTTGTTTTTGTTAGCTTGCTGTTCTTGATGACGGCGACGACTATGCTGTTGATGATGCTGATTGTGGTAGTGATGGTGGTGCTTGGCGATGGCGTTCGTGTAGATGCTGATGCTGGTGATGCGGTTGATGGCCTTGTTGATGAAGATGGCCACGGTGATGTTGACGGCGTCGATCATGGTGGTGGCGAAACCGATGGTGGTGTTGTTGGTGAGGAGGAGGAGGAGGAGGAGGAGGAGGAGGAGGAAGGAAAGCAAGGAGGAGGCGGAACAGGAGTTGGATAACGTAGGCTGGTAATTTTAAGGATTGTTGATGGAGGCGGGGAATGAGGATACGGAGTGGGATGGCGCAGGTGGAGGTGAAGTCAGGGGGAGGGGGAAGGGTGATCATATGATGATGAGTGTATGTCTGTGTGTGTGAGAGAGGCGTGGGCGGGCGCAGGTGAAGGCAGAATGGTGACGAGGAAGAGGCGAGGCGAGGCGAGGCGAGCGCGCGATGTCGGTCCGGTGGGACCGGCCCTAGGAGGGCAGCGCGGTGGGGCCTCAGCCCTCAGTAGTTGAGGAAGTGGTGAAGTGAGCGTCGGGTGTGAGTGTGGATGGACGTCGAGAGGTGGATGTCGAAAGCTAAAGGTCGGATGTTGGAGGCCGACAGGTCGTGGTGCGCGTCGGAGGTTGGATGCTCGAAGCTGGAGGTCAGTCGGGTGAGGTTGCCGATTGTGAGGTGGAGTCGAACGCTGGAGGTGGAAGGTCGGAGGTCAATGGCACATGTGCACGCTGGAGGTCGGTCAGGTGAGGCTGGTGGTTTGTGGGCATGGGGTGGATGTTAAAAGCTGTATGTGAAAGACTGGCGGCCGACGACTGGGTGCACTCCTGGGGCCGGGAGATTGGATTGGAGGTCGGTTTGGTGAAGCTGGTGGCCAATCTGAGGTGGTCGCAAGCTGGAGGCGGGGTGTTGGAGGTCAACGGCTGGTGGTGTGCGCTGACGGTCAGAACTGGAAGCTGGAGGTCGGCCAGGTGAGGCTGGCGCTTATAAGGTGGAGGTCGAAAGCTGGAGGTTGGAGGTTGGAGGTCGACAGCTGGTTGTGCACGCTGAGAGTCGGAAGTTTGAGGCTGGAAGTCGGGCAGGTGGCTTTGGGGGTCGATGGGCGAACGTCGAAAACTGGATGTGGAAGGTTGGAGGTCGACACTCGGTGGTGCTCGCTGGGGGTCGGACGCTGTAAGCTGCATGCCTGTCGGCGAGGTCGAAGTTGATCGACGGTTTCAGGTCGACAGCTGGAACTGCATGTTTGAAGTCTTTCGCTGCTGCTGCACGCTGGGAGTCGGGAGCTGGGAGCTGCAGGTCGGTCAGGTGAAACTGTGAAACTGGAAGTCGATAGGTGGAGGTCAAGGCTGGAAGTGGGATGTTGGAGGTCAACAGCTGGTGGTGCGCGCCGGACGCCGATCAGGTGGGGCTGGCGGCTGAGGTGGAGGTCGACAGTCTGGACGAGGAAGAGGGGGAGGAGGAACAGGAGGATGAGGAGAAGGAGGAGGAGGAGGACGGGGAGGACGAAGAGCAGGAGGAGGAAGGAGGAGGAGGAGGAGAGGAGGAGGAAAAATAATAAGACGAGGAACGCTCATGATACGAATAAGAAGAAGACGAAAACTAATAATAAGAATAATACTTTTACGAATACTCAGAAGAAGACGACTAGTAATAACAAAATGTAGACAACTATGACTGATACTAAGACGATTAATGATACTGATAATACTAAGAACAATAGTAAGAGTAAGCATACTAATGAGAAGACTGATGCGACTACTACGAATATGAAGAAGATGAATAGTACTGGGAGGAAGACTAAACATAACAATAATCACACCACGAACATGAACCATACTCATACTACAACGACGACCTGGAATACTATTACGAAGAAGAGTACGGAGCATCATACTACTAATAAGACGATCCATCATACCAGTCATACTAAGACTAATGATCATCATAAGACACATACTATTACGAATACTAAGATGACTACTAATGATATCACGACGAAAGAGGCACATCTTAACACTAATACGAAGACGAATCACATAATAATGATGCATAAGGTAATAAGATGCATGCCGCGAATAACTATACACCTCATAGGGACAGTTACTCATACTTGGACGAATAAGACAAATTGACAATAGTACTAATCGTACGAGTAGTGATGATATGGATAATAGTAAAGATATTAACACGAAGGCACATACACGAAGGCACATACGGAGAATCAGACTGCGAATGTGACGAGGCGGAGGAGGCCGATGATGATGATGATGATGGTGTTGATGATGATGATGATGATGATGATGATGATGATGATGCTGATGCTGATGCTGATGATGATAATGATGATGATGATGATGATGCTGATGATGATGATGATGATGATGATGATGATGCTGATGATGATGATGATGATGATGATGATGATGATGATTATGATTATGATGTTGATGATGATGATGATGATGATGAATGATGATGATGATGATGATGATGATGATGATGATGATGATGGTGATGGTGATGGTGATGGTGATGGTGATGGTGATGGTGGTGTTGTTGATGATGATGATGATGATGATGATGATGATGATGTTTGATGATGCTGCTGCTGCTGATTGATGATGATGATGATGATGATGTGTGTTTGATGCTGATGATGATGATGTGATGATGATGATGATGATGATGAAGAGATGATGATGATTGATGATGATGATGATGGTGGTGATGATGATGATGATGATGATGCTGATGATGATGATGTTGATTGTTGAGGATGTAGGAGGAGGAGGAGGTGGAGGAGAGGAGGCGGCAGGCAGGGAAGAGGGGGGAGGGTGGAGGACGAGGAGGAGGAGTAGAACAGGGAGGAGGAGGAGGAGAGGAGGAGGACGAGTGAGGAGAAGAGGAAACGGTCGGGATGGTGGAGATGGAGGAGGAGGAGGGGGAGGGGAGGGCGGGAGCAGGAGGAGGAGGAGGAGGTGGATGAGGAGGAGGAGAAAAAGGAGGAGGAGGAGGGGTGAGGAGGAGGCGGAGAAGATGAGGTGGTATGACGGACGAGGAGGAGGAGGAGGAAGGGAGGGAGGGAAGAAGGAGGAGCAGGAGGAGGAGGAGGTGGAGGAGGAGGATGAGGAGAAGAGGATGGGAGGAGGAGGAGGAGGAGGAGGAGGAGGAGGAGGAGGAGGAGGACGGGGAGGTGGACGAGCAGGAGGAGGAGAAGGAGAAGGATGAGGAGGACGGGGAGGAGGAGGAGGAGGAGGAGGAGGAGGAGGAGGAGGAGGAGGAGGGGGAAAAGGAGGAAGACGACGATGATGCTGATGCTGCTAATGCTGCTGCTGCTGATGATGATGCTGATGATGCTGCTGTTGATGATGCTGATACTGATCATGATGCTGATGCTGATGCTGATGATGATGCTGCTGATGATGATGCTGATGATGCTGATTTTGATGATGATGATGATGCTGATACTGGTGATGACCATGATGATGATGACGATACTGATGGTGATGATGCTGCTGATGATGCTGCTGCTGATGATGCTGCTGCTGATGATGATGATGAGGAGGAGGAGGACAAGGAGGACGAGGAGGAAGAGGAGGAGGAGGAGGAGGAAGATGAGCAGGAGGAGGAGGAGGAGGAGGAGGGGGAGGAGGAGGAGGAGGAGGAGGACCTGAGGAGGAGGAGGAGGATGTAAGGAGGTAAGGAGGTATGGAGGTATGGAGGTAAGGAGGAGGATGAGAAGGAATGATAGTAATATGATGAATAATAATGAAACGACTACTAGAATTAAAAGCAGAAGACACATAATATGAATAATAAGAAGACGAATAATAATACGACGAATACTAACACTAATATAATGATAAGAAGCATAATAATACTACTGCGACTAATAAGAATAGTAAGACTCATAATGGTACTACTACTAACGAGACGAAGCATGCTAGTCATACTAATAAGAAGACTAATCATCATACAAATGATGCTTACTAATAATAAGCATCATAATGATCTGAGGAGGACGAGGATACGGAGGAGGAGCAGGAGGAAGAGGAGACGGTTAGCAGGAGGAGGAGGAGGAGGACGAGGAGGGGGAGGAGGAGGAGGAGGAGGAGAAGGAGGAAGGAGGAGGAGGGGGAGGGGAGGACGGGGAGAACGGGGAGGAGGAGGCGGGAGGAGGAGGAGGAGGAGGAGGAAAAGGAGGAGGAGGAGGCGGAGGAGGTAAGGGCGCAAGGAGGTAAGGAGGTAAGGAGGTAAGGAGGTAAGGAGGTAAGGAGGTAAGGAGGTCTGGAATCGGGAGGAGGAGGCGGCAGCGGCGGCGGAGGGGGATGAGCAGGAGGAGGAGGAGGAGGAGGAGGAAAACAAGGAGGAGGAGGAGAAGGAGGAGGAGGAGGAGGTATTGAGGAGAAGGCCGCGCGGAGGCCCCGCGCCGCTCTGACCACGACCGCGACGACGACGACGACGCTCTGTGTGCCCTCTCGCGCCAGTGCGGGCGGGAGGGCGCGGCGCCGGTGCGCCCCCTCTTCGTGCTGCGAGCTCGCCCTCCGTCTCGGCACGGCCCCGGGCGCCGGCGCGGGTGCTCAGGAGGAGGAGGAGGAGGAGGAGGAGGAGGAGGAGGAGATGGAAAAGTAGGAGGAGGAGGAGGAGGAGGAGGAGGAGGAGGAGGAGGAGGAGGGAGGGAGGAGGAGGAGGGAGGAGGAGGAGGAGGAAGGAGGAAGGAGGAAGGAGGAAGGAGGGAGGAGGAAGGAGGAAGGAGGAGGGAGGAGGAGGAGGAGGGAGGAGGAGGAGGAGGAGGAGGAGGAGGAGGAGGGAGGAGGAGGAGGGAGGAGGAGGAGAGGAGGAGAGGAGGAGGAGGAGGAGGAGGAGGAGGAGGAAGAAGAAGAAGAAGAATAAGAAGAATAATAATAATAATAAGAAGAAGAATAATAATAAGAAGAAGAAGAAGCAGAACAAGAAGAAGAAGAATAAGCAGAAGAATAATAATAATAAGAATAATAAGAAGATTAATAATAAGAAGAATAAGAAGAATAAGAATAAGAAGAATAATAAGAATAATAAGAACAATAATAATAATAAGAAGAAGAAGAAGGAGGAGGAGGAGGATGAAGAAGAAGAAGAATAATAATGAGAAGAAGAAGAGGAGGAGGAGGAGGAGGAGGAGGGGGAGGACGGGGAGGAGGAGGAGGAGCAGGAGGAGGAGGAGGAGATGAGGAGGAGGAGGAGGAGGAGGGCCGAGCGCCCTCGCGGGGCCCGCTTCGACTCCTCCGATCTGAGGCAACTCGATGCTGATGGCTTCCGATCCCGATACGGTTTTATTTGGGATTCCGATCTAGACTCCGATTTCGCAGCGGAGGCCTTACAGTCAACACGCAGACTAAGGATGAGCGACTTTCCAAGGTTACCCTGGCTTCCTTCCCTCTTCGGTCATCCTCGGTTCATCCTCAACCAGTTTCGATGGCCAGCCCCGCTCGAAAAACGTCGCTATGGCCTTCCAAGGCCCCTTCATCCTTACAGTGGGTCCTCACTATGCGGGTTGGCTGGTTGGCACATGGCGCATCCTTCCCGCTCTCATGACGAGGTGCTTTTGAGAGTACATTGTTCGCGATGGCTCACCAAGCATTGTCGTCATCATTATCTTCATCATCAGCATCATCATCAGCATCAGCATCAGCATCATCAGCATCGTCAGCATCATCAGCATCATCATGAGCAGCATCATCATCATCATCATCATCATCATCATCAGCATCATCATCATCATTATCACCATCATCATCATCCGTAGCCATGTTGGCCCAAGGAAGAAGATGGTGATTTGAACTGCCTTCGCGAGGTAGGCTCCCATACCAGCCGGAGCTATCGCGCTCATGTCTTCGCAGCCACATCCATGGGCTAGCTGCCGCCCAACCCTTCATATGATTTCCCATGTTCTCGCCCTCTGCTGCCATTCCCTCAGTGGAGGTGCTGCGCTAAGGTTGCCCGCGGTAAGACCATCTGCGTCGCGATTGTGGCCACGGCGGTTTTCTTCGCAATGGCGTCGAGCAGCGGCTTTGGGTCCCCCTAGCCCTACACGTGTTCCCGAACGTCGGCGCCATCGCAGACGCGAAGGTGACGCCAGCGGTTCTCGCAGTGACCGTGGCACACGACGGCAACAGCGGCGGACTTCGCCCGCGCCAGACGCCAGCTGGGAGCCTGACCGGCGACCTCCACGAAACCAACGAGCTCCACGTCCACGGGATGAGCGACGGGCTACACCAGCCAGCAGACTTGCTGGATCTTTTGGAGGCCCTGCGACGCAACAGCGAGACCGCCAACGACACCGCCAACGGACTGACGAACAGCAGTTGCTGCTGCACGATATCGAGCTTCTCCCTACCTTCCAGATGGTGAGCTGCAGCAGCACGCAGACCCCCTCAGCGACAAGATCCGTGGGGCACCGCGAATCCCATGGACACACAAGGGTCACCAGCTGGAGTAGCTGCACAACCGCGTGCTGGATCCGCTGCCCTCGATCCCATCGCCATCGAGGATCGCCTCTCCGCTGTCTTTTCGGACCGCATGCAGCGTGCAACACAGCGCGTGCTACAGGAAACTGCCGCCATCATGCAGTCGGCCACCTCCGTGTTGCAGAGCGAGCTCCAGCTCGCCATCTCCCAGGTGCAGCAGCATAATCAGCGCATCGACGGCGTCGGCGCCTGCTTGCGCGACCTGGGCAGCCGCGCGCACATCGTCGAGCAGGAGCAGCAGCAGCTCAAGGCGGACATCGAGCGCATTCAGTCGCCCCCCGCCATGGCCGAGGCCACCCTGCCGACGCTGGACATGGCGGCGCTCGCCGCGCGGGACAGGCCGCCTGGCCCGCGCCTCTGCAACCTGCCGAGGTCCGTCGCTCACTCGAGCCATGGCTCGCGGCAGCAGGTGTCGCCATTAGCGACGTCGAATTCATTTACGACGTGCCTGCCAGGGGGTTCTTTCTCCGCGTGTTGGGGGGGGCTGCTGCCTCGCCCAGGAGCCCTTCGCTCGCCCGCAACTTGCGCGCTGGCGGCCAGTGGGGGACATTCAAAGCGCCCAGCGCATCAGGAGCGACGACGCCTTAACGCGGACAAGCCGCCGATGCAGTTGCGGACAATGCGATGGCCAAGCTTCTTTCAGAACGTCATCCTGCCCGCCACTTCCGCAAGATCGGGGGCGGGGGCATCGCCTCCATCGTTTCGACCCCGCTCGTGGCCCTTGAGATTGGTGCCGGCGCCGCTAACGGCGCCCGACTTCGATGGGGCGGACAAGTCGCCCAGCGGCTGCGAGTGGACAGAGCCGCCGTCGCCGCGGAATTCCAGCGCCTCCTTCGCGCCGCCGGCGCGCCGCTGCGGTCTATTCAGCCCGCGCTGGGCTCCGTGGAGTGCGCCCCCGAGCACGTGTGGTGCTTGCGTTGTCTCTTGGGGCGCCCGTGGGCCCTGCTGCAGCCGGGCGCGCTGGCGCAGGCGCGCGCTGCAGAAGATAGAGCGGCGCATGACGGAAGGCGCCCTGCCCCTTCCACAGGAAACCCGCGGAGTCTGTCAACAGCTGGAGCTCCCGATCGCCAGCTCGCCGTGCCAGCGCAAGCCCTTCCACTCCATGGCCTCGCTGTCGCGTGAGGGGGTTCGTTTTTTGTTGCCGTGGCCGAGGTCTCTGCCTGGCGAGCTCCGACCTGCTGCCCGCTTTCGCCCCCCCCCCCCCCCGCCCCCGTGCCTGGTCGAGTCGCTGCGCTGGAGATTGCGCGCGCCAGCTGCGGTGCCAGCTACGAGATCCTGCGCGTCCACAACGATGGCATACCACCTGCTAACGTGCTAGCGAGCGCAGTGACATGGCGCACTACTGGTGATCTGCCGCTGCATGGAACGTCGCCGACCCCTTGCCAGCTGCGCGCCTTCCTCGCCATGGGCGGCTTCAACGCTGGGGGGGGGGGGGGGGGCGGGGGCAGCCCTGCAGCCGTGGGGGGCCGATCGCGATGGCGAGCGCGCTACCGACCAGTTGCGCGCGTCGGCCGCTGGAGATGTTGCGGCGTCCGCTATTCGACATTTTGCAAGAGATTCGCTCGCCCATCCCGACGCGCTGCAGCCGCCGGCGCTGCTCGGCATCCGCGATGGACGGGGCCATCGTCGGCAGCCCTGAGCACTGCTCGATGGGCTCGGACAACTCCGTCGCGATCGATGCGGACCCCATGGAGGTGTAGCAGTCCAGGCTCAGCGACCACTCCATGCTCTGCCTCGCGCTCCGCATCGAGGCGCCATCTCAGGCCGCCGAACGTCGCATCCCTGATGTGGTTTTCAGCGACGAAAGGTTCAAGGACATGCTGGGCAGCTTGCTCGCCGTCGCTGGTTAAGGGCGCCTCTCGCCCTCGCGGCAGTGGCTCCACGCGAAGGGCTTCGTGGTGGAAGTGGCTCGCCAGACTCGGAAGGGCAACAGCGATTGCCATTCCGTCCGAATGATCGCAGAGCACCCGATGGGCGAACGATCACAAGGGGGAGCGTATCTCGAGCGGTCTGGCGACGGGATGCCTCTCATGCTGCCCTGGTGCAGTCGACCGCGGAGGAAGGCGCTCGCTTTCTCCGGGTTCATGGTGGGCATGGTGAGTTTCGTCGAAAGTTTCGCTCGCTTCATGTCGCGGAGCTGGGGGTCGCTCAACAGCGTGCTGCGCAGGCTGCCCAGCGGGCCCAGCGCGCTGTCGATCTCCTGGGGGCCGCTGCGCACTTCAAGCCTTGAGGCTGTGCACCAACGAGCCATGCTATACAGGGCCAAGCGGGGGATGCTGATTCTTTCGGGCATTCGCCCCGGGCATGCTGCGAGTTCTGGCGCGCAGGTTGCATCGAAGTCCCCCGCGGAGATTTTCGAGCTCCTGAAGGTTCATCGGGCCGACGTCTGTCGGGCGAAGCCGGCCAACAAGCGGGGCAAACATAATCATCTCGAGGAGATCTACCCGGCCCAGAGCGTGGCCGACGTCGCCGCCCCCGGCGCCGAGGACTTACAGATGGCCCTCAAACGCGTTCGACGCATCGCAGATGGCCCCGATAGGATCCCCCGCAAGGCTTCGATGGTCTTCAACGAGTGTCCCCCCGTGCTCCACGGGCTCCTGAAACATCCACGGGCTCTTGAGCGGCTTGGGCCCCCCGCGGAATGTCGAAATCTGATGTTGGTTTTCTCTTTCGGGCCCAGAAGCTACGCGCTGCCGACGGCGAACAGCATGTCCCCCCTCCCTCCCCCCCTACAGTCTGGAGATATGCTCGGATGCCGATTGTTCGGTTCGGCTTGGGCCATAGCAGTGGCTCCGATCTTGCGACGCTTAGTGGGGGGAGTTTCGCCGTCGTCATTGGGTGAGTGTCGTGGGGTCGTGGGAGGATGTGCTGATGGCGCTGGCCTTGTCCTTCCTCGCTTGGCAGATCTGCCGAGAGCGTGTCCAGTTTTTCGAGCAACCGAGCGCCGGGCCCATTCTCGTCTGCAGACATCCAGAACAGTTTTCGCGCCGCTATGGGCAGACTTAAACGTATTCGGCGCTTTCTGGAGCGCCAGCTTCCGACGCGGGCGGGCATCGATCGCCTCGCGCGCGATTTTTTTCGGCGCCCCATTCGGGCCATGGGCGACTGCGGCTGACGTTTGGGCTGGCGTCGCTCGCAAGTGGCGGACTCGCGCGCGTGGCGTTCCCGCGGCAGACAGGCCGACGAGCGTGGGCGTTTTGTTATAAAGCAGCGCTGCCCTGTCTTCGCTGAGCTATCTCGCGCAGCTCCACCCGATTCCTCGCGGGGGCTGCTGGGGGGGGGGAAATTCGCGGTGCACCGAGTTCTGCGCCTTCCTCCGGGCACCTTTCGGAAGGCGGATCTCTTCGCATATAAGGGTCGCGCGCTCGCCCCACCAGCGTCTGCGCAGATAATCTGCATGGCGGGTCTGCGGCGCTGGGCGCGCCGCACCCTGGCGGGCGGGAAGAAGACATTTGCTCCTGGTCGGAGCAGGCGGCGAGAGACTTCCCGCGTGCAGCATGGCCCCAGCAGATGTGGAGCGCGCCGTGCTGGAATACCTCGGGAGGCATTCTGCGACGATTTCAATCGCTCCAGGAGCGCGCTCCTGACCCGGGCGTGACCGACGCTCAAAGGATGGATGTCGCTTCTGGTGTTCGCGGTGAGATCAGCGCCGCCCGTGCAGCCGGTCGCAAAGCGAAGATGCAGCGCATGTTTTCCGCCTCCTTGCGCCCCCCCCCCCCTCCTAGGCATCCAGCTCGCTATTGGCAAGCGACTGCGCGCTTTGGGTCTGTTGCAGCTGATGGCGGAGCGGCCAGGGAACGGTGGGCGGGTCGTCTCTCGGTCTCGCGGGCGCGGCGCCCTGCTTGGCAATTGTCCGTGCTCAAAACCAGCGCAGGAGGGTGGGCGACTTCTCGCCGCGCGCGC